GTAGACCTTGGCAATGTTACATTGTAAACATGGTCTCTTTATTTTTTATTTTGTTGATTTATCAAATGATGGGTTATATAAATTCCTTTACCTTCCTTTAATTTCTTTTCTTTTGTTTCAAGGTATTAATTCAAGATTTTCAAGTCACAAACTTCAAATCACTTAAGACAGGCAGTATGGTTTCTTATATTGTCAAATGAATGTTACTAATAATCACAAAGAATATCAAAATCAAAAAATAATCATGAGGAATATTTAATTAGAAAGCTATCAGATTGTTAGCCATCTAAGGCCTCTTGGGTTGAATCCAACCAGAATACGTTAGTTCTCGTGTTGTAAAAGCTTTATAGGACTATCTTGCCACCATGAAAGTGTAACTTGAATCAAGAGAATAGTAGACAGCATTCTTGTTTGTTATAGAATCTTGGGAAATGGATTCTGTTCTCCATTCCACGAGTTGCCGGTATGGAAAAACACGAATAATGACTGATAAAAATTGTATGATTTCCTATATTCTTAACTTCAATCCAAATCATGACAGCTTCATTTAACTTGAAAATTCATTTAACTTGAAAATTCGAACCTGCCTTTCCAAGGTGACTCACAAACACAGACAGAAGCTTCCCATCACATTCTACCAAGTAGCTTTGGTTAAAAGAGCAAGGCATTTTAGCCTTGTCAAAAAATTTGTTTTCAGTTTCTTTATAAGACAAATAGCCGTCCGCTCTCATCAAAAGCCCATTACAGAATGTCAAATAATTGCAGCCAATAATTGGCATCATGTCAACTGTATGAAGCTATGCCATTCTCCTTCCTCCAAGAAGATGTAGTCAACGTAATCATAACTGTGATTGTAGCCAATCAAAACAATCCAATCAATAGAGGATGAGAAACTGACACAACAAATAGGTAAACCTTCATGGGGCAGTTTTGGGAGCTGAATGGTTTTCCCTAAAAATGGATTCCAGAGAAATACTGTCATCCTTTCTTGTATCATTAGAAACCTATCTTCCCTTGAATAGCCCCTTGTGACATTTTTCAGTTGGCTATTAAGGATTTCTCTGGGATATTTTTCGCCCCGCAGATCAATGAAGTTTGCAAATACGGTCACCCTTTCTACAAAACATAAGCAACGGCGGTAAAGAATTACAACTTTCAGAAAACCTTCTAAGGCTGCATTTGTCCATGGGATTGGAGGGGCTTCCAATCGAACTTCCAATCGAAACCTTGTATTTACACTCCGAAAGTTCATGTAGTCATGTAGCTGAAGGCAATTTCCAATTGCAAATAGCATGTCTAAAGGAAGCTTTCCAAAATCTCCTTCTAATTGTTCAAGCCCAGCATGCTTTACAATTTCACTTTTTTTCATCACATTACGTTCTATATGTAAATGGAAGTTACCCTTGGTTTGTCTTAGGATATTGCTTAGACTAATAGAAAAACAAAGTTAAGAGAATTAGTATCTATCAAATAAGAAAAAATGTAAAAATCAAGATATCTTAGTCTTTAAAATCAATTCCCCTGTTAATTGAAGAGGTCTTTTATCTTTGTTTAAGCCTATTAAAAAAGCATTTCACTTAAGAAGTCAATTAGTATATATCCACTTATTTAATATAATTACTTAATATAAATCATATTGCCTCATAAAAATATATAAATCATGTTGCAAAAATTATTGTACTAGAAAACATTCTACATATAGTATTGCTGTTTGCTAAAAAAAAGAATGTGTACAAGGCTATAAACTGCATAATTTGGCTTCTCATAGAATAAAAAAATATTATAATTACTAAGAATCATAAGAAGTGGTATTTTACATTTAACTATAAATCAATCATATGTTACCATAAGAATAATAGACAATATTTTTATCATAAAATTTTGAAAAATAAACTTTATTATTCATTTCATGAGTTGTTGGTAGGGTAAAAGCTGAATAACTGCTAATATAAGTTGTATGGTTTTTTAAATTCTCACCTTCAACCCAAACCATGCATGCCAAACTAACTTGACTTGAAAATTCGAACACATCTTCCCCCTTTTTGTCTCTATAAGTGTGTAAGCTGTCGTAACCCATAGTCTCAAACATCTTTGGTAGGGTGTCAACAGCTAATGCTCATGAGGCATCTTGGCCTTATAAATGCAAACCACAACTACCCTATAGTGAGGTACTTTGAGACATATATATTTAACATGTTAACACGAACAATATCACCAGTTGTGTTCAAGATTTTTGTTATGAGATGTTGTTATTGTTATTATTAGAGCCACTCATGTGATTCTCAATTTAATGCAAGGACACACCCATGAAGGACCCTTTGTTCTAATGGTTCAAAGCAAATAAAGTCACTAGTGGCATTTCAACACTTCGACATAAGATGTTACACACGGCCAAAATAGAACAACTTAAAAAACAAAGGGAGTAATTTCATTTTAAGTATCAACCCAAAAACTCAAACTCTAAGGCGGCTTGTACCATGACACTTGAATTTTTTCTGCTGGATGGACAAGAAAAAAGGATAACAAGAACGAGAATGCAAGGTATAATTGCTGAGAGTATTGTGGGTTATTTACTTTGTTAGAGAAGGCAAGTTATCTTGGTGAAGGATTAATTTTCAACCGGATTTTTAGGTATTGTGGGTTATTTACTTGCTGAGAGTTTCTGGGGAGTGGGATTAGAAATCTTCGGGATTTTGAGATTGGGTATTATTGCATGGATGGTGTTATAGGGACAATATTTTTGTCTCACTTTTTATACAACTTCAACATGTCATT